AAACAAAGGAGCCCAAGGTGAGTATAGGCGGTTGGTGGTTAGAGGCGAGCAAGATTGTTGACGGCTGTTGCTCTGAGGCTTCTGCTCTTACTCCATTTGTGCTTCAAGTTGAAGTTCAAGCCTGAGCTAAGGAGAGCCAAAAATCAAGATGCACGAAGCACCTAGAAAAAGTCTTCAATCGAAACTGTTTGTTGACAAAGGCTTGAAGGTCGGGAAGAGCTTTCGAGACGGCTTTCTAACATATTACTTGGGGCCACCCCAACCTTGAACATGCAATTTGAAGGCTAACTAACCGAACACGCCAATTTTAGAATTCAGATATTGCGTGCAGCGTTACGAAATACTTATGGCGATCGAAAAGACGTAGCAAAAAAATCGAACAATTTTCTATCTTTCATGTTCAGCACGAACATGATTGCGCATCGAGTCGAGACGGTCCAAGCTGTTAGTGCAAGAAGATATCCAAGAACTCGTCCCATAGTGCTTCACAGAGACCGTCCTAAATGAACGGAGTGAATCTGAAGGACTTGGGGTCAAGGTAAAAGTCTTACGATCGAATCACTGGTCTTGAGCGTGATAAAATCGTCGGGCCCAACGTTTCCTGATTATGCGATGGCTACCGGAGTCGAAGTGGTATTTCCGCAGTGCAGCGCCGGCAAAACCATCGGATCCTTGAACGTGACAACCACAACGTCTTGATTCAAAGCAAACGACGTCCCATCGCACAAAGGAAGGGATGACGTCCCGAAGGCCAGTGAACCACCATAAATCCAAACAAGTACAGGTTTTTTGACGTGGGACTTGGAGGTATTTGGATTTGAGTTAGAAGCTTGTAAGAATGAATATTCCTCGCTCTCTCGAGGAGGGTCTGAAGGATTGTCGAAGAGAATTTGGACTAGTTCCTCTTGAGGGTATGGAAACTGCTGTAGGCACGCAGGGCCGAGCCGAGTAGTATTTTGTACCGTATTCGACGTAAAAGGCACAGGGGGCTCCCGGCGTACAGGAGGATGTTCAAACCGCTGTCATGATTGTTTTATTGGGAGTCGTGCGTTGCAACAGGAAAGAAAAGACGCACAATGCCCATAAAAATGTTCACTGCAACATCCAATGAAGCTCATTCCTTTGGGGAACAGCAACAGTCAAAAGACCACTACATTCATTCTCTTCGTAGCCTTGGAGGAGCCCGGATATGGTTGAAACAAGGACAGGTATGCCTTGTGCCTCCGCAGTGGTGGCAACACTTGATAAGAAATAGTAAAGCAAGGACTCGCATACTAAGCAGGCGCAGAATCGGCTGCGTATAAAGGGAGATGAAAGCAAGAGCCCTTTAAATCGCCCGGATCCATGGGAGCCAAAAAATCATGGATGATGGGACCGTTCCACTGCAGGAATCAGGGCCCCAAGGCAACCCCAAGGAGCACAGAAAATCAAATTTCGAACACTCGGTGGAGCCGTCGCTAATATAGGCCAGAAACGGGTATGGGAATCCAAATCCGGTCTGCAAAAGCCTGTCTAGAGCAGAAGCGGGAGCCAAGTGGGAACCAACAGTGTCGAAGTGAGAGCAGTTACTTAAGGGGCAATCTGATGCAAATCATTCGATCAGTGATTGATAATTGCCGGCCTCGGCATGTTTAGTCCAGGCGCCAAGGAATTTATACACCTGGCTAAGGCGACTGCTAGGATGAAAGTTTCAAGGCAGAGCTTTGTATATCAAGCTTTCAAGTGGATTGTCGCAAAATATGTGTACAAAAGCCTCCAAAGAATAATTGCAACTCGGATTCGGTGCTTTAATATTTATTTCATCCTACTTACCTTCTTCAATAAACCGGAGCTTCATCACATGTAGTTTTAAATTCATCGGAGGTGCGACCTCTTCGTCGGTGTGCCCTTCAATTGCTGCCAGACCACCGTGTTGATCTCCGGTCTCGCCCTCGCCCTCCCTATTCTCTGCACTTCCTAGCGGGACATAGATAGCTGAGACCGAGTTAGTCTCTCTTGAAAGACGGTCTTTCAAATCTAGCTCGTACCTTGCGACGGGGTTGCTTCACCAACTATCGGGACCTCCGGATCGTCACTGGCGTCGTTGTTGTTTATTTCCTCGTCGTCTGAATAGTCGAAGTCAGCACCCGACTGCCACTCCATGTCGCCGTCCAACTCCCCGGTGTACTCCCCAGCATACTCAGGAGACATGCGCGCTGAACCGAACCATGTCGACTTCCGTGGCTCCTCCCCATCGTGAACGAGGCGGCCGCCTGTCTGGGTAGGAAATGACCATCCTCGAGCGACTTGTACTCTTTCCTCCAGCTGTTCCCTTTTCGCGTCCAAAGTCTCCAACTCGAGCTGGATTTCCTGTAATCCTGGCAAGCTCCGGATCCAGGCATCCCAACCCTGGGTCGGATCGTTCATGCGAAGGTCTTCGCCGTCTTCCCAATACCACCAATCCGAATGACGGATGGTGATTATCAGCTTTCGCACCGTTAGCCCTGCGGCCCACACCTGCGGTCCACGGCCTTCTAGCCAAAACATCTGAGCAAAGAATCGGACCTCCCGCACCGCACCGCGCTGTTCAAGTGTCATTCTCTCGAAATACGTCTCAGGGCTGGAGACGAAGCGCCCGGGTGGTGCACGATACATCCAGAATACATGCTGATTCAGATATATTGGCGCAAGGTGAGTTTCGAGGTATATTAGGCGGCAGGTGAGCAGCAGGTTTGTGTCGATCCTGCCAGCAAACTCAAAGTCAGGTCGGTAGTAGAATTCGTGTTGATTGTAAGGCCGAGTATGGTCGTCGTATTCCGTGAGGGCATGTTTGAAAACCATGTTGCGGAGTTCGGGATACAACGATGTAAAAAGAGGAGACTGGAGCTGGTTTTGGGGACCCAAGGCCATAATCCTGGTGGCCAAAGGTTCCGAGGGAAAGTCGGCGGTGGGCGCCGGTGGGGAATTGGTTCTGGGTGGGCGCCGCCGAGCTGACGCTGAAAAAATCGGCGGAATGGTAAAAGAATATGAGGGGGAGGTCATCTTGTCGTTACCAGGGAAGTTCAAGTCCTCTTATATCAATCGAAGAACGGAACAGCGGTACAATTCTGACTCACATTGCCTCGTAACCGGTTGATTCTCGGCCGGTCGTTACAACAGAAACAGCTGGTCGCTGGCGCTAGTATGTGGGTTTCGATGGTCGTGCCTGATAGGCCCCGCCGAAAGCAGGGGAACGGGTTCTGGCAGGTGGCGATGAGCGCTCAGCCGGAATCATGATGTTTGGGAACCAGAAATGGGTGAAATTTGATTGTGCCTTGCTTGCACCGATGTTCTGGAACCTTTGGCAGAATATCTAAAAGGGTTGTCCTGGACAAATACAATACAAAAAGGATTGTCCAGGGCCAGAATCGAACTGACGTCAATTGTCGTATTGCCAAAGTGTTTTTCGCGGAGCGAGTATAGGTGTCAACACCGAGCGGAGCGAGGTTGTTGGCCCGGGGGCCGAAGTGTCGTGTATTCGCCAAAGTGTTTTCCGCGGAGCGGGTATGGGGGCCAAAGGGTTTTCCGCGCAGCGGGTATGGGGGCCAAAGTGTTTTCCGCGCAGCGGGTATGGGGGCCAAAGTGTTATGGGGGCCAAAGGGTTTTCCGCGCAGCGGGTATGGGGGCCAAAGTGTTTTCCGCGCAGCGGGTATGGGGGCCAAAGTGTTTTCTGCGCAGCGGGTATGGGGTGTATTTTTCTCGGAGCGAGTATGGCTCATGTGTTCGAGTATGGGTCGCGCAGCGAGTATGGGTCATGTATTTTTTGCGCAGCGAGTATGGTGCACCCGTATGGGTGTGTTTTTCCGAGAAGCAATCTGTCCGTCCACGGTGCCCGGCGTGAGGGATAGTTTCACCCAGACAATGCCTGGGTGAAATGTGCAAGTATGGGCAATGTACACTACCATGTTCCATATCCACCTGTGGTGCTGCGGTTGCGTGTTGGATGCAATTTTTTTGGCCTTGGGTAATAGGCCACAAAGGGACTACAAATACCTACCTGTGCTGCTGCCGCTCTCAGTACCCGCTACCGTGTGTGTGCCCCATTCAATCTTTATTTGCCTTGCACAACCAGGGTTTCATTGCTTTTTAATCCAATGAAGGAGGAACTGCACCCCGCCCATGGCGCTGGTGCGCAACTCTGATCAATTCGATAATTGTATCCTCAGTCGTCGGGCTGCGGTGTCACCCACCTAGTGCCTTGTGTGCCCTCCATGCAAGGTTTCTAGCATTCAGCAACTTTGTTGCCTGCCAAAAAGACTCGAGTACCCACGCCGGCGAGGCTCGTTTTGAGGAACCCGGCTTTGATTTGAAATCAAGCTGCAGTCGGCAGATTTTACCCCGCTTGCAGCATCACTTTGGCCGAATGCAACTTTACGAGGTTAATAACTCTCCAAAAGTTGAACCGTGGGAACAATTATTCGATGCGATCACACACCCTAGAACCGTGCGTCGACGGCAACATCAACTGTGACCGATTGTGATTTGATTCCTTTTCAAAAGAGGGACTGCAACCCACCCATGGCGCTGGTGCGCACCGATTGTATCCTCAACTTCCAACGGTCGCCCGTTCGAGTCGGGCCGTGGGCCTACTCTTTTTGCAATCACTGGACGGTTCCACATTTTGAGTTCTGCCGCTACAAAAGGAACCCACGCCAGTGGAAAGTATTTTTGGGAGGTACAGTATTTTTCGCCCAGTGAATATGCACCTGTGTTTCATGTATGGTAAGCGCTGTTCCCAGGCTCAAGCGTTTCTAGAAAGTCTGGGTTCCACCAGGGTCGAATGCAACTTTACGAGGTCAAGTGGACCTGATGAGATCACCAAAAGTTGAACCATGGGAATAATTATTCGATGCGATCAAGTGCCGTTTGACACACCCTAGTAGAACTGTCGGAAAGGGAATGGTCCAAAACTCTGGCAGTTCAAATCAGTGTCCTGCAGATTTGCTGATATGACACTATGGATCTACACCATAGAACAACACGTCTAGGTAGTATAGTGGTTAGTATGCTCGCTTGTGGCTGCCTTGTAATTGTCATCGCGATCGACCCTGGTTCGATTCCGGGCCTGGACATTTTTTTTCCCATTTTTACCGCCGTGACAAGCAGAGTTTGTGCCGCATGTCCATAGTGGCCGCTGGACACTGAAAAAAAGGGAATGGCTGCCGGGCCACTCCAAAAAATACAGTGGCGGCCGGCCCAGTGAAAAAAATTTGTGGCCGTGGCCGCCGGCCGCCCAAAAAAAACAAAAGTGGCCGCCGGCCCGGTCACTGAAAAAAAAAAAGTGGCCGCCGGCCGCTGAAAAAACGCGAGTGGCGGCCGGGCCGTGAAAAAATGTGGCCGCCGGCCACTTAAAAAAAAAAAAGTGGCGGCCGGGCTACTCAAAAAAAGTGAATGGCTGCCGGGCCACTCAAAAAAATACAGTGGCGGCCGGCCCAGTGAAAAAAATTTGTGGCCGTGGCCGCCGGCCGCCCAAAAAAAACAAAAGTGGCCGCCGGCCCGGTCACTGAAAAAAAAAAAGTGGCCGCCGGCCGCTGAAAAATGTGGCCGCCGGCCACATTAAGTGGCGGCCGGGCTACTGAAAAAGATTGAGTGCACTCCAAAAAAAAGGTGTCAGCGCGTTCCGTTCACCGCCTCTGATCGGGCATCAAGCGACCAAAGTTGTCGTTTTGCTCCCGTGTGTCGACGCGTCTGGGAGTCGACGCGCTACTCTCATAAGCCGACAAGACCAGCTGGAGGATCTGGATGTTGTACATCAAGTCCCTCTTCTCTCAACGGTGGCCGAACTCCAATGTCTTGAGCTGGAGAGGCGATGTGGTCTACGGAGCTGCAGGAACATTCTCAGTCGGGACAGGGTGAAAATTCTATAAAACCCTACCGTGTGTACTGGAGAGAACGGTGTCCTCCCTACCATGGCCGACTCCGATTCATCTGCTCTCAGCTCTACCGATGCCGCCGCCGCCTACTATCAGACGGTGGACTCGCAGCTGCACTCGCAGCTAGATAGTCTGGTCAGCCTCCGTGCCCCCCGCGCCTCGAGCCCGGTCGTCGAAACGACACCTCTGGACGATGCCTTGAACACCCCCCTGGCTACTCTTGGTGCTCCCAGTGCCAGCGCAGAATACCTCACCTTCCCTCGCCCAGCGAGCCCAGTTCCCACCGAGCCCACCGATTCCGATGACAACGGCGAGGAAGAACTTGAAGGGTGCGAACAGCGTGCGTCTGCCGCATTATCGGACCGCGCCACTCTGTTGGACCCCACATATCGTTTCCCTCAATTTCACGCGGACGTCACCCCGCCCGCACGCCCGCAAGCCCTCCGCCGTCATCACCTCTCGCCGCCGCGTCGCAGGCAGAGAACGTGCAGTCTCCGGGACGTCGCCCGCGCTCCGGGACGCGCGTTGGCACCTACGCGCGCCCCGCTCTCGCGCTTGCATACACGGGACCTACGCGCGCCCCGCTCTCGCGCTTGCATACACGGGACCCCCGCCCTTCTCCATTTCCTGCACCCGCACACCCTCAGGCACCCACCACTGTGCCCGTAACGCCGCTTCCTTTGCCCTACGCTCCGCCCCGTTTTCGCAGGCGAAGACTTCACGTGCCAAGTCGTTTCTGGTGTTACGTCCCGCCTGCCTGCGCTTCGCGCACCGCTACCCCATCGGAGATCTTGCACGTGCAAGACCTCCGGTCTCCTCAACTCTGCAGAGGACTTTCTGACCGCGGGCTCACTCCACGTCGCTGCGCTCGACTTGCCCCCGGCGTCGTCGTCAACGTCACTCCCCGCCCCCACTCTCACTCGACGCCGCACCTTTGCGCTGTCACTCGACGCTCCCGCTCCGCGCTGCGCGTTCCCGCCCTTCTTCCCTGCTCCCACTATTTCCTGATGTACATGCATGCTTTCCCTTGGTGTAGAAAAGTACTTACGCCCTGTGGTTGTAGTAGCTGAAATCTAATCTTAAATCTCTCCTGAAAATTCATAACGCGCCAAATAAATTGAAGCTTTCAGCACTGTCTACGTTCTTGAAAAGCTGGAGTATCTAAATAGAATGTCGAGCGCGCAACCGTTTCCCCCACCACGGAAAGATATTGTGGCAGTGCAATATCAAACCCGGGCCGGTGTTTCTTCTTCTCTCTTCCTTCCTTGCTCTGTCTCGCGCGTCGAACATCATGGCTCCGTTCACTCTCTGCGTTCGCTGCCTAGCTGTTACTAAATTTTTACTAATGTCTAATGCATGATTTAATTATCGAATGAACCCCCGCCCAACAATCACGAGACTACTACAAAGGAAACAAACTCGAGGTGTAACTTCCTTCATGTTCTACCTGTAATTGGTACTAGCAATTGTGAAAGGGTAGGTGAATTAATGGTCGAAGACATATACGGTGCTGGGCCATATTTCACCCGTGCATTACACGGATGAAACAGTTACACAGGGAATTGTGGAATCGCCAGATTACACCTTGCCCGAATAACCGTTACAGTTACGCTCGCGGGAGAGCGTATCCATGCCACAAGCGAGCATACTAACCACTATACTACCTAGACGATGCAGCATTCAAGGCGTTAATCCCTTACATACCAATCTATAGACGCTTGCCTCCAGCAAAGCGCAAGCGGCGTGCTGTGCAGTTGGGGGATAAGGGTGCCGCAGCATCGTAAACCAGGCCATCGAAGACTCCGAGTCGATGGAGAGAATGTAGTCGCAATAGTTTTGATGAGCGGGCGGTCCTTGCAGCGATGATGGACAAGAAGGAATAGGAATAACACTAATAGCTTGAGCTTCAAGTCGAAGAGGAATCCAAGAAGATTCAAGAGCAACTTGATCAAAAGCGCGAGACAAAGATCAGAACGTCCTGGACTGGGAAAAGATGGCCATTTGAGCGCTGCAGCGGACAGTCGGCCTGTTGTTGATTTGCCGCCCATGAAGTCTCGGTGAGTGAGCCTGGAGACGGTGGAAGTACGGAGGAAGTAGGTAGGTCAAGTGATCGGTGATAGCGGCAGGCCTGATGCTACGGCCCGCGGGGTCCGGAGTCGGATCAATCAGCTTCCCAAGCCGATTTGAGCCGGTGCCTCTCAGCCCACGGACTTGCACCAGCTCTACGATGCCCCCGAATCTCGATGTCTTCGTGATTGGAGCAGGTGTGTCCTGCGTTTTTAATCCGCTGTAAACATTTCCATCCCATTCAATAGGGGTCGTTGGATTGTCCACTGCAATTCGGGCTTTGGAAGCGGGTTTCAACGTGACGATATTCGCAGAGACGTTCCCTAGTGATCCAAAGAGCATCAAGTACACCTCTTGCTGGGCGGGGGCCAACCATATCAGCGTTGCGACGACCAACGCGCTCCTGCACCGTTCGTTCTTACTTGGGTTTCCTCCAGCACTGGTCGCTCAATCCCGGACAGGATTGGAAGCTGATACCCTCTCAACTTTCTTAGAGCTTATGAAGGACCAGCCCCTTGTTCCTGTCATGATTAGACATATCAAGGAACACGCAGAAGTCGTGAGTGTAGAACCGTTGAGATTTGGACCCACCTGAAATTCCCGTCTAGTCTGGACCCATATACCAGCAACAAAGTGACCATATCGCGCGCTGCTATCCAGATTTCCGCCCCCTGGACTCGAGCGAGCTCCCAGAGGGTGTTGCGTGCGGCGGAATATTTTCTACAGTGAGTACTCTGCGCCTACAGATGAGCAATGGGATTCAATTTGAACCAGATATTCATCGACGTGCCCAAATATCTTCCGTATCTCATGAACCAATTTATATCCTTGGGCGGACGCGCATTCAGAGTGACGCTTCCTTCGGTGTCAGCATTAGTTTCCGAGAAGGTCCGTCCGTCCCTGGCAGCATTTCCAGCCCCCTCGACAAATGAGTCTCCATCCTTTGATCCTGCCGCCGTGATCAACTGCACAGGACTTGGCGCAATCTCCCTGGAAGATGTTCTCGGTAACGGTTCGTCAACGAGACATTTCCATATTTTAATCCCTTGCAGATGCCAATGTCTATCCCACTCGAGGCGAAGTTCTAATTTTACACGCGCCCTGGATTGACCACGGAATGTCTTATTATTACGAGGACGGACATATCACATATGTTATCCCTCGTCAGAGCGACGGGCACGTAATTCTTGGGGGAACATTCCAGCCTGACGACTGGTGAGTTTATGTCGCCAATTGAAATTGTGCCATTCACAGTTCACCCTCAGGCATCCCACTTCCCGAGCAGAAACGGTCAAAATGATCAAAGAGCGTGGAATACACGCCTATCCGGAGCTCCTCCCTCCAGGCAAGCGCGAGAATCGCGACATCAACGACCTCGAGGTTGTAGAGGAATGCGTCGGTCTCCGTCCAACGAGAAAGGGCGGAGTTCGACTAGAAGTCACCTCGTTAAGTAAGCTTCCAGCAGCTTCAAGTAAACTCCTCCTCATATTTGTCTTCAGCTGTGGGCGACAAGAGTTATCCAATCGTGCATAACTATGGGTAAGCAAAGTTTCTGCAATTGATAATTGATGCCTTACGCCTTTTACCAGGCACGGTGGTGCCGGATACCAGTCCTCTTGGGGTTCTGCCAAGTTTGCAGTGGATCTTCTCAAATCGGTCGTAAAAAATGATGACTAGTTCCCAATTTATCGACATGCTTTTCACTTTATCCGTCCGGGGTGGGTAGGCCGAGGTACCCGAACCCGGATCCAAGAGGCGCTTAGGGTCTCCCAAGAGCTCGGTATATGTTCAAATCCATGCCAGAGAAATTTGCGCTCCATTATTCGAGCCTTGGCTGGAGCGCGCTATACTGGTGCAGTTTGGATTTCGTGTTCAACTTCGGTTTAACTTTTCGCGGCGGGTCAAAAACTGGAGCACCGCTTCGGAATTTTGCCTTGGAACATACATAAGTTGTGTTCTGGAGCAACGAACCTTGAATTGCTGGATTACCGAACACCAAGCGGTCACCTGGTAGAGCTTGAAAGCTCGCTCCATCACTAATCCGACTTGGACATAATGACGATTCAACGCGCACATCCGAGGCGTCCCAAGTCATCTCCTCGGGCGTTCTATCGAACATCCTGTACCTCGCG